CAATGAGTCGATGCAATCAGCTGGTTTTCCTTAGATAGAAAACTTTGAATCAATTTGACTGGATGATCTGGTATGAATGAATGTAAATGTTGGACAGGATCAAGTTGTTCTGAATGAGACTGAGCTGATGGTGTTTATAAACTTTACGTCAATGCGATGCATTTCTGATGTTAAGTCATGTTGGGGTATAAATGAAGATTCCATCTGATTTTAAAGGAGAAATTCTGGTATTACCCAGACCAAACAGAAATGTAAGTGGACTGAGTTTTTCAGCTCTTAAACTAAGATAATATAGTTTTTTTTTTCTTATTTTGAAGTAAATTTATCTTATTTGTAAATTGTTACCTGCTTATATACATATTGTGCTACCTAGAGGGTATCAAACTTTTCAGCTTCTGATCTCCCTAATGATTCCACAGTTAACACAGTGAAACTTCTCCATTTTTAAGCATATTAATATGAATATTTATTGTTGAGTCTAATTTCTGTATTGCATCTTTAGACCCCATACTGGTTGATAAAGGACCGAATTGGAATCAGTGATCTACATAATGGTTTTAGCAGGAATTAACACAAAGACGCGACATATTTGGCTAAAACAAACCAATGTACGTAAAGCCCGGCGGCTGCATTGCTGTTGCCACTGAATATCTCCCACAGTGTGCGAGCCTGACTCAGGTGTGAGGCTGAACGAAGCGCCGTGTCCTCCTTCCTCTTACACGTCTCCCATCAGCTTCATCTCACACTCCGTATTCCCGAGGTGACGCTCTTTGCTCCAATCTACTCTTCAGGAATAAACCCCACTGCTTCTTAATTGGCCAGCAGGGACAGAAGACCAGAAAGGCACAGCTGTAGACATTAGAGGAGACGTGTTGACTCTGTTCGGCTCTTTTCTTCACCTTAAATATACGTATCTGCTTCCTCTGATCCAACAGGAAGAAAGCATGTCTGTTTGCTGACGACATCTTCGTATTTCTAAGGCAGAAAGTGAGACCTTGGAGTACTATGGCGATGTGTTTCTCACTTCCTGTTGTGCTGACGGTGGAAAGGAAGTCTGGGTGTGATACTGAGGGTTGTTGATCACTTCCTGCTTTCAGCGCACACAGCGAGTCTAAGGGGCACCTCATTCAGGGGCAGCCATCTCTTTCCATCCCCAGGGCAAACACGTCGCTTTTGCTTGTTTTTTATTTTTTTGCTCTATACGAAATGTATTTGCTGCATAAAACATGATGGTGGAAGCATCATGCTGTGGGCATGGTACAAACAAGCAGGCAATTAGGGAAGAAAACTGATGTGTAAAACGACAATAAATATGCAGCTCCAGCTGCAAAGGAAAAGTTTGAACGGCCTAGTTCAGGGGACGACCAAATAAAAGTTGTTTAGAGCCGCAAAATATACCATGACTTTATCTAGAAAACCTTTTTTTTTTTTTTATCTTGTATAGGAAATTAGTTGTTGCCATCTCAAACAATCAATTCATATTTTTTTTTTTGTGTTAAAAGGTATAATTTTCAAGCTAATTCACAGAAAAATGTCTCTTAAAACATATTTCTGGTTCTTTTAATCTCATTATTTTCCATCTTATAAAAAACGCTAAAGCTATTGATATCGGTATATATTATAGTAAATTATTTAGCTCTTTATATACATTTTAGCCACTATTAAGAGCCGCTGGAGAGGGTCCAAAGAGCCATATGTGGCTCCGGAGCCGCAGGTTGCAGACCCCTGGCCTAGTTAAAGCCCAGAACTTCTTAAGAATTGAGTCTACATACTTGCAACAGAGCGTTACCCTACAAAGTATTGAATAGCTGTGGATACAGATGTGGCCCGTCCACTAAGATGATCTGTACAGCCTTTAGCTTGGGTCATAACGCAGGAATGAAGATTTACATTAGATTTTCCTAAAAACCCAGTGAGGAATATCTAAGAGTAACTCTAGAAATAAAGGGAAGTCGGTTTATTTATAAAGCTGAGATAGAATCTGATTAACATTGCAGGATGCAAATAGGTGTTTGCATAGAGTGGAGGTGTTCTGTATCTGTATTTGGCTAGTCATGTCTGCACTGTAAACAGCAGTGGATGTTTGTTTTTTGTTTTTGTAGGAAGTGTAAACAGTTTGTTAAACCATTTCTATTTCTCCTCCTTAATGAGAATGTTGCAACAATATACACTTA